ATACATGTTGTTTTGATGAATTTTTGTAATGTTAATTATTTATATGTCTATTTTGATTATGACAAATGTTGGTTTTTTTATGAAATTTCAAATTTAAAACGATAAATATTAGCAATGTACTCCGTATCATTCACTACGCTTACAAGAAATGGACAACGTATTTCTTTTTATTGTTAATTTTTTAAGTAAAACATCACATTTGTATGCATATAATGATTATAACGAATGTTAGGTTTTGTTATTAAATTCTAAATTTAGAAGGATAAATATTAGCAATGTATCGTTTTCTACGATTGTAGTTTATAAAGAAATGTTCCAAAACTTTTAACACTTCATATCGACTTTGCTCATTACTATATAGAATTCCCTTTTGGGGAATAATATTAAATTATGTAATCTTTCTAGTTTTGTAACATTTTCCATTATTCCCAACATTGACTAAATATATGTAAATTAACAGTCCGTGCATCGCACGAGTACGAGTCTAGTGATGTAAATGAGTCCTTGCGCGCCTACCTTGCTAACTGGATTAATTTATTGACGGCGAAAGTTGACTTTGTGAATTTTGGTGGGTTGGTGAATTTGTAACAAATAATAAAATGACGGTTGCTAGGTTATTACTCCCTCCGTTCTCAAAAACACTTCCTTTTTCATTTTTTTCACTTTCAACAAAACACTTTCACTTTCTATTAAAAACCCCTTTTACCCTTACTTTTTCATATCTTACCTATCAAATCATACTTTTTCTCTAATAATCTATCCATCACATCTTACTTTTACCCATCACATCAAGGGCAAAATTGAAAGTCAACTACAATTTAACACTTCCTTATTTTTACATTTAGTCAAAATAGGAACATTTTTTGAGAACGGAGGGAGTATTTTTTTGAAATTTGATGTAAATAGGACCAAAACATAAGTCATTTCCCAATGTAGGATTTAAATTTTTTTATTCCATAAATAGGACTTAATAATGTCTAGTGGGAAGAATAATCTCTAGAAATGATGGACATTTACTTGAATAATGACTAATTGATAATGACCAAAGGTCCTACATTGGAAAATAAAAATATATGGTCCTATATTGGGAAAGTGTGTGAGGTGGAGGAACATATATTTGCCAATTGCCACCGTCCTACTCAATTACCAATCCAGAAGAGATAGAAAAAAAAGAATAATCCTCTCATCCCAAAGATTGAAAAATAGATGGGATTTTGTTAGTGCTCTTTCAACTTGTGAGTTGTGAGTGAAAAACGAACCCTTGAGTCACGAAAGACACAAGATTTTATGGACTCACCTAAAGGTGGCACATATTCCCCTTTCTATAGTCTATACTACTCCCTCCCTTCCATAAAATCATTTCTCTATCTTTTTTTCAATTCCTGAAAACATTTCCACTTTCTATTAAAAACTCACTTTTACCTCTAATTTTTCATACCCTACCTATCACATCATATTTTTCACTAATAACCAAAAAGAAAACCTCCTAAATAAGAGTAAATCATTAGACATATACCCAAAAAGGAGTTCCTAACTTATATACTCAAAATAGGAGTTAAATTTAAAAAGAAAAAAGCTACTCCCTCCGTGTTGAAATGTTCTTCCCACTTACTATTCACACAGTCAAACTTTAATCACTTTCTTTACGTATTTTCATTAGGTATTTGATAAAATAATATAGTCTTGTCACCACTTGTTTTGTAGAACTTTTAATATAGTTTTTAAATATATAAATTTTATTTTTTAATTTTACACCTACAATCAAATAAATTGAATTAAAAATAAAGTCGGTCAAACTTCGTAAACAGAACCGGGAAGATCATTATAGGACGGAGGGAGTAAATAAAAGTGGCCTTCTCGATCTCTTTCCCCAGTGACATCCAACGCGTCTCTCTCCTCAATCTTTTCCCACCGCTCATCCCTTGCAGATTCGCCACCGCCGCCCATCCCACGCAAGTATTTGCTTCTTTCGCTCGCTTATAGCTTTTGCCACTCTCACCCCCAATTGCATCACCTCCGCCCCCTTGCACCGCCGACATCATTCGTCTATCCTTCTCGATCACCCCTTACAAATTCGCCGTCGCTATAAATCAATCATCGCTACCTACAAATAATTGCATTTTCATTGATATGAGGTTTGGTGTTTGTTTTCAATTTTTGTGTTCAATTTTTCTCTCTCGTTATTTTAGATGCTTGATTTTTGCTTCAAATTTCTGTAAATTTTGTAATGTGAAATGAATCTTGACATTGATTAGTGGCAATCTTAACATTTAATCTTTTTTTGACACTATATATTTGCATTTTTGACATTATAAATTGACATGTTTTCTACTTTGCATTATCATCTTTGACATTGCGATTTCGTTTGACATTGTATGTAAAGCTTTTTTCCTTGGTAGTGGCACCATGACATTGTGGCAGCGGCAGAGGCACAGTTTCTTGGTCCTGACATTGGCGACGGCAAAACGCAGTTGTGACGGTGATGGAGACAATAGAAGTAGCAAAAGGAGACGACATTGACAACTTGTGGCATCACCAACGGCGACTGGGGCAACATTATCGATGGTTGTTTGCATGTCGGCAGCACCGGTGACGACATGATGTAGTTGAGCGACCATAGTTGGAGATTTGGTTAAATCTCTTAGTGTTTGCCGATTGGAATGAAAATAAATTTAATTTGGGTGGCAGTTAATGTGTTTACTCCTATTTTGGGGTTTATCTTTCAACTCCTATTTTGGTATATTATCAATGTTTTACTCCTATTTCAGCCCCTAATTATCTCTGCAGATTAAAATAATCGGAAAGAATTTGTCTTCTTCCCATAACTAATGACTTCATGGCCTCAATGCATGCACATGTATCACCGAGTACAATTGAACTTTTGGCATTTTGCAGAGCCACGTTTGTCACTGTGCATTGACATCTTTGGTATTTTGTTTTTGATTGACCTAAAATTTTGTATTTTTGCATCTTACAATGTCATGTTTGTCACTGTATGTTGTCAATTTTAGGATTGTATTTTCGATTGACACTGTATGAATTATTTTCTCCATGTAGCACCATAGCACTACACTTGTGGGGGTTAGTGATGCCAACAACGTGCGACGACCATGTCGTACGACAGTTCCTCGATGCGGGCCCGCTCCACGATCATCTGTGGGACCTTCGGCCGGGCCACCATGTAGCCGACGAATACCACGATCCCAATAAGGTCATGGCCACCGTCAGGACAGTGTAGAATATGGCCAAACACCACACCACGGGACTAGTGTGCTGCTGCCCCCGGGTTGTCACCGCCCACGGCCATGGTTTTTTCATCACTCTTCTCCTCCGCCGTCCGCCGGCCAATTATTATATATTTAGCGACGATGGTGATGTGATGATAATAATAAAAAAACAAATTATGAAGAAGCTAATAATAATACGAATAATAATAATAATGAGATAATGGAATTAGGTACTTGGCTGCAGTGGTGGGAAAGGTACCACCTATGGCAGATCTTGGCGGCGGCAAACATTGAGTCAACAACTCCTATTTTGGAGTTTTATATTTTCACTCCTATTTTGGATTTTAATCAATGTTTTACTCCTATTTTGCTCCTTAACCCCATAACCAAACTATCACATCTTACTTTTACCCATCACATCTTACTTTCTCTATTGTAAATACATGCTAGTGAGTAGTGACCCTCTTTTCTTTACAATTGAACCATATCTAATGTAGATCTATTGTTTATTAATAATAAGTTTCTCTTACTTTTATAAGTCCATCTTATAGTATTTATCAAATAATTTTGAATTTTTACCGCCAACGAAAGTTAATATTTTACCTATAATTTCAATTAGAATAAATTTACACGAAGTATCACTCAATTGTATGAAAAAAGAGGATCTCCCACATTTATTCATAATGTAAAATGGAAAAAATACATGGACTAAGGGCAAAATTAACGGAAAGACAAATCATACAAAGTTAACATGGCTTAAAGAACTATTTGTAGAATTTTCAAAACTGAAATACTAACCGTACATAATGCAATAACTTGAAAGACCAACAGTATAACTAAATCAATCCAAAATAAGAATTGATAAACAGTTATATAAGTATTTTTATAATGTAATATGATAAGTATTTATTTAATTATTTTTTATTAGATTACTTAATTGAGAAAGTTCATGGTTCTATTAAATATATCTAAAATCCAAAATAGATTTATCTTAATTTCTATAAAGTTAAAGTTAAAAAATTATGGTAGGTAAAGAAAATTTAGTGCCTAGTAGGAACGAAAGTAGGGTGTGTAAAAAGAGGGGTGAATTAGAAGAAGTGTGCTAGTCTACACCACTTGTATACATCACTTTGTACCCTAAAATTTTACATTGATATTTTAATAGCTAACAGTGGCACCTGAATAGAGTAATTGTATTATTAGTTCTTTAAAAATAGGAATTTTCTCTATTTAGTCCTATACTACCAAATGTTAAGTTCGTGATCTTTCATTTTTAGGTATTTTTCTACATAAATGTTTTGTTTGACATTCCATCATGTTAATGTTAAATTAATGACTAAAATGTGTAATTTCATACAGACCCTAGGTCTCGTCATGTATTCTGTTATCGGTTTGACAGACAAAATAACAACAATGACTTATGGAGGTTCGGATCCCGACCAATTCAATGTCCACAGTTGTTGACTATGGTTGCGGGCATGCGGTGAGCGGCAATTCAAATATGTAACGACACATCAGCAGTGTCCTCTGCAGTTGGATATAACAAGATAGACGTATGACCCATATGAAAATACGCCTTTTGCTCCTAATTGACACTAAGGTAAAAAAAACAAACTATCCATGGAAGGATATTCATAAACAAAGGATCAAGAACGTAATATATATTTATAGTAATAGAACACAAAATATATATGGAAAAACCCCCATAATTAATTAAAACACATGTTATAGAATTACTTATTTATATGGAGGAAGTATGGTTTAGGGACCTACCTTTGGATTTGAGGACAAAGAGGGCACCAGCATCCTCATCATCAACAACCTTCTTCACAACTTCATCTCCTCCTTGATGGTCACTTCTCACCCTTGATTCCCCTTGAGGACCAATATTCATCTCTTTCTCTTTTTCTTCTTCTCCCTCTATAACTATAACACGAGTATGTAGCAACTATGTATGTATCTATCTAACTCTCTATGCATGTCTCCCACTTTTATAAGTGAAATTTTAATAAATCAAATCAATCAAAAAGGTAGAAAATGATTTATATTTTCTCCGCCCAAAATATGATTTTGTTCACTATTCATATAGCCAAACGATATCTTCTTTTTCTTTACATATCCCCCTTATGAAATATTTGCACTAAATAACACTAAAACTTAAATCATTTCCCTAAATAGCACTTAAATTGTTTTATTCTCTAAATAACAGTTAATAATGTCCAGTGATGGCGAACATTTATTTGAATAATGACTAAAAGTGATGGATTGGAAAAAAACACATGTGATCCTATTTAGGGAAAATCATTATGTTTTAGTGCTATTTACGTAAATTACCATATTTTTATTGATAACTCATACTCCGTATTTGATACTCCGGAGTAAAATAAAGTAGTCAAGTCAGTATTTGCTAGTTTTAATGGTACAATTTTATTTTTTTTATTTTACACCTATTTTATTTTTAAATATATTGAATTGAAAGGAAGATTCCCACCTACCGCGTGTTTAAATCAATATGTGTGTTGTTGACGGTTGAACTCATCACTACCTCTAGTAACAAGGATCTCATACTCCTTTTTTTCTAAACTAAGATTCCATATTTGATCAGGTACAATTATTAAGAAAGGTGAAATTTAATTGCTCAAAAAAAGATGTAAATCAAATTATAATTTCAGATAAACAAAATTGTAAGAAAAAAAAATATAAAACCTTTTTTTATAGATCAAGAAGTAGAAATATATAGTGTGAAGAAAAAATAGGATAAGAGGATGGGTGGAGAAATTAAATATTCTACCACGAAATTATTAGGGGGCCTTTGTTGACTTTTTTTACCATCCTGAAAATTACTCATTCCCAACCTTTTGTGTCGTCTCAAAAAATATTTTACATTATTTATTGGGGTGGTTCCCATAATATTTCTTAGTAATGTCATGAGATGACCCGAAGGTCATACGGTACTCCATTCGTAAAATTCCAGTTCTTATCCCTCTTAACCCTCCCCCGGTAAACCTCCCACCCCGCCCTGCTCCGAACCCACTGCCCCATTTCTTTTAATTGTATCCCCCAACTTTAATTGACTTTGAAGTCAGGTTTTTGACTCCAAAGTCAATGAAACTTGGGACGTTGCAATTGAAGAGGGTTGGACTATGAGTTCGGAGCGGGATGGGGTCAGGGGGTTTACCGCAGGGATTAAAAAAGATAAGAATCGTCAGTTTTAAGAACGAAACACCGTAGGACTCTAGGGTCATCCCATGATATTACTTAGCAAAGTCAAGGGAACTGAGGTGATATTTTATTGTAATAAAGTAAAAGAGTATGTAATTTATATGTTTTTACTTTTTGTTAAACAAACTTCAATCATACACCGTGTGCTTTCAACCCAACTCTGTCATGAGACTTCCATGTTTCATACTACTCCCTCTATCCTAATGTAAGCTAAATTTTCATTTGACATTGTTTTTGGGTAAACAAAATAAATACTTTTGAAAAAACAAAGATGAACTCCAAATTTTTAAATCTATTTTATTTAAATATTGGTATACAAATTAAAAATAAAACTTACATACTTAAAAACTACATCAAAAGTTCATCAAAACAAGTGGTGACAAAAATATTTTATTTTATCATATAGACCATGAAAAACATAAATAAGTAAAAGTTCACGTGAAGTTAAAATAGTGCACTGTGAAGAAAGATATGAGACGAAGGAAATATTCCGTATTAGCCTTGTTTCATAAATAGTTGTTTCGCCAAAATTTGCAGCTTTGACTAGTATAGCATTTTGACTTGGTCAAAATAGCTATTTTATGAGTTTGGGAATTGGCTAAATGGTATTTTGTTTCGGATGAAAACACCGAAATTGAAAACGCTACTAAGTGAAGCGTTTTTGTTCGACTCCTAAGAATGATTTAGGGCCTGTTCGTTAGAGATTGGTCTTGGCGTTTTGAAAAAATTATCTACAAACAGTGTTTAACATTAGCATTTACAAAATTAATCTGTACCGTCAAAATTTTATCCAAAATCTTAACGCTAATCAAAAACATTATTCCCAAACAGACCTTAGAAGATAACCTATTTTGCCCAAACAATTTTCCACTTCTTTCGATTACACCAAGTTTTCCACATTTTCTCATTTGAAAGAATCACCTTAGTGCCAATGGACCACAAGGAAAAATGATCAAATCCATACGGTAACGCTCAGCCTATACTAGTACGTGCAATTTGTCCCTATGGGCCTCATTGTGATCTGCAATTTGCATTATTTTCCTACAAAGAATAAATCTACTTGTACTCCAAAGAAAGTTAACATTTACATTTTGTATCGATGTAAGTATGAGATTGATGATGTATATACACACAAAATGTCAGTGCAAAATCTTACCGTCACACTGGCAAATGTATCAATGTAAGCAATCAAAATGTAGATGTAAAATTTTGGGATACAATCTTTGGAGTACACGTAAGATAGTTGACAAAGATAATATCCTTGAATGTGCCTCTTCTAGAAGAGGTAATAAAAGGAGATGGGTTGTAAAATTGGATTGAGCAATACAGGCCACTAGTTACCAATTCAAAATTGTGAGTTGCACCCAATCTTGTGCAGAATGTGAAGTTAACCCCAATTGTGCTAGGTGGATGCATCATATTCAGTATTTCAAATTTAAAACTTCAAAAACATGCAAGAGAAATGCCAGTCCACATCACACTATAGTTAAAATCATGGTAATATCAGAAACAGCACATGCAAACAATACATCCTTCAACAATTTTCAGAGTGATGTTTCTCATCGAATGGTTAGAACTAACAAATATCACCCACGCAACGACGCCAGCAAGTCTAAAGGAAAAGAAGAAGAAGAAAAACCCGCGAATCCTCCTTGAGCACCGATGCTCTTCCAAGTTTGGGATCTTTGACTAACAGCAAATTCCGGTAAACGAAGCATCACGTTCACTAGTCTTCTTCTAGGACCTGGCACACATTTCATGGTAAATCTGTAATTAAAATATGGTTGTGGTGATCACTATCTGCATGGAAACCTGAACCTGTTTCCTGCAAAACTTATAAGAATTGTAAGACAAGTTCCCAGATATGGCTGCTATGTTTAAAAATAAGACAAGTAGAAAGTGCCTAGTGGCCTGGAGGATGACACTTTGCAGGGAGGGCACACGAAAGGAAACTGTAGAGGGCAAAAGCTTAGGAAGGTCAAAAGTCTCAAAACATACAGTTCTTCCATTAAACGTTAGCTAGTGCACAGCCTAGAGAAATCTTGGAATAACGATAGCCGAAACTGTGTCACTTGTTAGCATGCAAAATACTTAAAATACTACAAATGCCTTTCCTAAAGGGACTCGTTTTTTATGAGAGGGGTGGTCAACCATACAATGAGATTGTGTATTCAACTGTAGAGCAAATAAATGGTGCTTTGCCTCATCATCTCAAGAGCTGAAAATAAGGAGCAAATTGGAGGTTCCAAAAGGGTCTTAGAGGACATCAAATAGAACTAAAGAAAAAACTACAAATCAATGACTAGAAATCATGTCCCACATGTCCTATTCCATAGGTGTGTGGCTAATTTTGATTAGTTGAAATCGTATTAATAAATGTTAGACTTTTTTACTATGCTCATTAATTAATAATAGACATTGATCAAGCAAAATGAGTGCTACACCAATGTTATTAAAACCGGACCGGAGAAAAACCCAACAAACCAGTTCCCGGGTTCGGATCAAGCTTTTTCGGGTTTTGGGTGCTTGGACTGGGCCAGATTGGAGTCTGATTCTTAGTCTGGCCTGCAGGTCCTGTCATGGTAATATTGTGCTACACAAGTGGGATAGGGAAAGTAGGATAGACGATTTAAACACCATGCCAAGGACGCTACAATATGTCAAATATTGAAATGTTACTTATATTCCCTATCACAGTCAGTATTGAAAACCTGCACCACCCGCACGCTGCACAGTGGAAAATGGGCAGTGAGCTAAACTTTTATGGGATAGTGGTACATATAATGAATCCAATTTGCATTAATTATTTAAATCTGGAACTGATTATAGGAGCTAATCAAGGTGATTGAGTATTGCTTTGAAATGGACAAATAATTAGGGAATATACAGTTAATGGATTTGTATCCATTCACTAATGACTTGCTTACTTGCAAATTAGGCCCATATCCGTAGAAGAAACAGATAGTGTTTGCAAGATACTATATGGCCATTGTCTTTTGCATACATAGTTATCAAAGGCACTCGCCTATAGCGCCTCAGGCGACCAGGCGAGCTCTCAGTGCCTCAAGGAAGCCAAGCGAGGAAAGATCCCTAAGGCGCGCCTAAGGTGGTCACTTTTCACGCCTCAATCACTGCCTCAGGCGTTTGCCTAGCTCGCCTTTCAGTATTCTATGCATATTTTGTTTTCCTCCGACAATTATGTAGTGTTTAAGGTCCTCTCGCCCACCCCTCGCCATTAATAACTATGCTTGCATAGAGAGTTTCCCTTTAATTTTCTTTGTAAATTTTCAATAAATTTACTTTATTTTCTTATTCTTTCTACTTCTATTCAATTACTTCACTTTATTTTTTCAGTCTCTTACTCTTTTTTTCTCTAACAAGTGAACTGATGCACCAAAGGAACAAAGAAAACAGAGATTCAGTTATAAGGAAAAGGACACACACCAGTTCAGTTCAATGGATATCAGTAAGCATATCCACTTTGTTGTGGATAACCATTTTCACCGTTTTCCCTTTTATGATTGTGATATTCTGCATTGGATCTTTTCGAATCTTCTTTTTCCCTGTTCCACTGCTCGATTCTAGCACGCCTCTCTTCACTCCCGTCCCTAACAGGACTTCTTCTTTCTCTCCTGCCACTATCTGGGCTCCTGCTTCGCCCTCTGCGATGATGGCCTGGACTTGTGGTTCTGCGTCTCCGACTTCTACTCTCATAGTAATCATCCATATCATCGTCATCATCACGCCTCCGACTATGGCTCCTGTGAGAACGCTCTTCATAGCTCCGATGCCTGTATGGGCTTCTACTCCTGCTACGGCTGTGCCTTCTACGGTACCTCCCAAACAAAGTCCTTCTCAGTTCCCTGTCATTCATAATTAAAATGATAAGAAACAATTCTTCAGTGGAAAAAGGTATTTATTCGCAGTAGAGATATACATAACAAGATATACAATCATCATCGAACCTGCCGATCATCTTAAGATGCATAAAGTTGCAGTAGCCACCACGGTTGCAAGAGTTCTCCTCATACTGTCTACACGTTGCTTCACGAAAATCAGTGACTGGAGAGAAATCAACAATGATAGGTCTCCCTATATTACAGGGTAAAGCATTAGACATAAGAAGCAGCATGTAAGTGCTATGGACTTGCTTAAAGAAGAACACTACAAATAGCAATGCATGAAGATTAATTCGGACAATTACCAGCATAGAACCTCCCGGATAGATTTTTTAGGGCATTTGCAGCCTGCTCCTCTTCTCTAAACTGGACATAAACATTGCCCACCTGGTACAACACATCGCACAGACAAATACATGTAACAGAACACCTACCCATTCAAATTGAACGGGAAAAAATGAATCACAGGACAAAACTAGGTAATATAGTGAGGATTACCATGTGATCAGCCAGATTATCGCAAACATTCAAACTCTCAATCTCGCCGTACTTGTTCAACTCTTCGAATAAATCTTCATAAAATTCCTGCAGGCAATTCATTCGGACACGATTGAAAAACAAGATCGGTGCTGGAAACGGGATCAATGAACAGTGGAAAAAGAAGAAAACAGAGACAATAGAATCTCTGAAGTCGAGGACGGAAGACGGATTACCTCGAAGTGTTCCTGCATCTTGCGAGGATCGATGGGATGGCCGTGAGCGTCGACGCCGGGGGTGATCATGTCGGGGCGCTGGTACATGTTGGAGAGGAGGAGGGTGGGGCTGATGCTGGGCTTGGTGTGGAGGCGGGAGCAGCGGTCGCCGTGACGGCAGGCGCCGATCTTGAAGTAGAAGGGACAGTTGACCCTGTCCTTCTCCGTACCGAATATGGAAGCCAAGTGCTCCGCCATTGAAGCCGATCTGAACTCAACTCAACTTCTCTCTCTCTCTCTCTAACTTCTGGCCTCGCCTTCTCTCTACTCGTTCGAAGAGTCTGTATCTACATACGGAGTGTATGCGAAGCTTCTGGATGTTTTGTCTCTATACGAACAGACTAATATATTTTTACTTAACGAAGGATTAATATCGGGTGGTTTGCCCGAGAGGTAAAGGGGGAAGACTTAAATCTAAGTCTTGGCGTGCATAAGTTAATATAAGGATCGGAGTAACTCATATTTAATTACTCAAAAAATATATTAGGCTAGAGGGTGTGAAAATTTACTATTTATAAGTGTCTGATGTTTAGCCCTTGTAAACACGAATTGGGTTTTTTCTTTAAATATTGTCTCTCAAAGTATTCTTCTTGTGTATCTCTATTTACCCACTTTTCACCTTAATAATATTTATAAAGTCTTACACGCTTAAAATTTCAACAGGAAGTGTAATTGGTTGATTAACATATGCTTAAAACATTTTCTAATTCTTAATCACTTTTAAAAAATTCGTTTGATTTCTTGTGGCTTTTGGAAATTATTTTTTCAAACTTAGTCATTTTTTAGCCAAACAATCGATGATCGTTTTTTAGTTTGTTGACAACGACTTAATGGTTTTGGTCATTTTATATTAATATGTACTACGTTAGACAACTTTCATGTAATCATTCATCAAATTTAACCAAAAAATTCAAAGTCAACAAGTGTATTGAAACAATGAAAGTATTCTAAAGAATTAAAAGGCTTCAAGTTAAAACCATTTAATCCCATTTATGTTAAAAATTCATACAACTCCTAACCTAAACTTTTCCATAGATTCAAGCTAAGCCCAAAGTTAACCTTTGACACATGCAACATGTTAAGGCCAACTTAGTTTAAACTTGACCCAACCTAGCCCAATTTTTCAGCTTCGTTCCCAAAATTAAATTTTTTTAGAGTTTCACTTCACAATGTTAAAAAAGTGCAAGTGATTAAATATACGGAGCATATAATAAACATTTATTTGGAACAGGTAAAAAACCACGTATTTTAAATTTGATTTTGAAACAAATAAAAAGAGAAGTTATGAATCTAACTTGAGTACAATTTTTGTAATTTGAGGGTATATTATGGAATTAATTCCTGATCAGTGCTGCTTTTGAAAAAGCATTTCCCATCAGTGTATGTCAAGAAGTTCTACCGTTCCATCTTTTTTATTTTTAAGCAAACATGATGCTTTGGCCAATATTTTAAATGTTGAATTTGCTTTATGTTGGGGACCGAAAATTAACTTTTTTTTACTTGTTCTTTTTAGATAATTTTGATCACAGTTATCATTGTATTTTTTTGATAATTTTGATCACAATTATGTAAAAAAAATATAATAATTTTTATTTATATTTAATATAATTAGATTTATTTCAAGATGTACTTTTTATACGTCAAATTATTGTAACATTTTTTATTTACCATTATATCTATTTTGAGTTCAAAGAGAAAAAAAGAGTCAAACTAGGATGATATTTTTTGGAGAAAGCTACTAAAATAGAACTAAAACAAAGTTGAGATTTTTTTAAATTTTTACGCATGTAATTTATTTAGACTGTTTAAATTCAAATGTTGTGGAGTTTTTTAGTTTTTACATCTAGCTTTCCAATTTACTCTTGCACCTAACCCGTCTAACTTTTCTGAACTACTACACCAAACTTAACTCAAATCCTGCACCTTACCTAACTTGACATTTCTCAACTACTATACAAATTCCTGCACCTAACTCAAATCCCACTAACTTTACTCAACTACTACACATCCTCATTAACTCAACTCTATTATAAATTTGTGGTAAAAGATAATAATCTCACTAAACAATTAGAAATCGCACAAATCTTTTTCACGTTTTAAAGAAATGGACTATCGTGCTAGCTTTATCCTTCTAGCCTATTGGAATGGTGAGTTCAAAATTGTAGACAATGAGATGGAGTACTCATTGCATGCAAACACTTCGTCTTTAATTTTGATGTCTCATTTAAACAGGTCTTCAATGAATTTCTCACTGCTGTTGGTGAAGATGGATTCAATTCCATCAAAAAAATTTAGGGGGAATTCTTTAATATAAAATTTGAGAGTTTGATCTCTAAAATGTTGACATGTGGCAGTATAGAAAATTGACATGTGGTAGTATAGAAAAGTGACATGTGGCAGTATTAAGTGACATTATAATGGACAAGTTAGAAGAACTAATTTTACTCCGTATGATGCTTATAATTATGGAAGGAAATAAGGCAACATTTCAGCATGTCATTCTCCCCCCAAAAACGAGAAATATAAATAGAAGCTTTCAATTAGGCTTAAATGAAGGAGCTAATACGGAGTACTCCATAAAAAGTAATTCATAGCCGATAAAAAAATATGGAAGATCTTGCTCATCGATTGTTCAAGGCAGGTTAATTTTCGGAGTTTGCTTTTTATATATAAATGATTTGAGAGTTGGACTTCTAAAATTGTGACATGTGGCGTGTTTGTTGGACATTTTTTTAACATGTTAGCAAGCCATGTCAACAAGTAATATTTTAAGAATCTGTTAACCAAAAAAACTTATTTTATGGAAATTAAATCTCATATTTGTTACACACAAATTTCTAAACATAATCGTGTTTAAAAAATTTTATATTTTAATTCATTATTGGAAAATATTTATATTATAAATATATTTTAAAATTGAAAAAAAAACTCATATTCAAAAAACATAATCAAAACAAATAAATTTATTTTATGAACGGATAGATTGGTATGACTAAAAGAAATCACATGTGAATATTAGTTTTTGCTTTTAATTAATACTAATTGGAGAGAATTTCATATTTTTAAAAAAGAGAAACAAATCCATTATCCTTTATCCTTTATATATAAATGTGAGAGTTTGGACTCTATTATAAACAAGATATTATCTCCATCTCTATAAATTTTTATATTTTTTAAATTTATACGGAGTATTTGATATAAAGAAGTTACTTATTATTATATATATTTAAATAAAAAATATATATATTTAAAATACAAATAGTATTTAATAAAGAATCATTAATTCTTAATATATAAAAATGATACTTAGATCACTAAGTATATATTTAGTAAAAGATATATTTAAAAGACAAATATATATATTTAATAAAACTTTTATTATACTACTTTATCAAATAGTATATATTTAGACTAGAAGAATGTTAGTATAATCCACAAAAAAATTAAAGACAAATAAAGAATCATTAACTATTTATATATAAAAATGATACTTAAATCACTAAGAAACTAACATATGCCATATTTATCCGGTTTTTTTAAACAACTAATTTATCTAAATTATAAAGCCGTAGAATACTTACCTAAATGTTTTAGAAAAAATAATAAATACACATCTAGGGAGGACAAGCCTAAAGTTTTAGATATTTTTTATTACGTTATACAATATAATTGCCTATTATGATATGATATGTGCATTTAAATTATGGAATAAAATTGATTCAAAAAATGTGTCACCACGACATACTGTATTTACACTAACATTCTTTATGATTTCAATATTATTGAGTAAATTTAGTTATGAAATAAAGATAATCTCTTTTATTACAAAATAAAATATTTTTCTAATTTTATTTTCTTCACTTTATTTAAAACAAAACTATCAATGAATAAATAAGATTTTCTTCCTTGAAAAGGATTCTTTCTTAATCTCTAAAAAATAATATTTGTTTATGACAAGCTTAAATGAAGTTAGTTTTTATTTTATTTATTTTCGATATTAATGTAAAATAGAATATAAAAATATATGATAATCTCTACATTAAAAAACTATTAAACAAAAAATAAATAGACTAATTTTTTAAATGATCAAATATTTAAGTCAAATAAATTAAAAAGGAATGATTGTACGTGCTTATATTATTTTACTTCCAAAAAACTCAAAAAATCAAATGTTTTTGTAAATTTCTATTCAAATCATTGGATCACTATTGTTTTTCATACTCATTTTTTTGAATTAATGTAGGGGAGTGGAATCATTAGATTTTTCATGTATTTTAACTATAATTTTTTAATCATAGTAAATCTAATCTTTTATTTTTTGAATCATGCTGGGAGAGGAGAATGATATTTTTTTAATCAATACGAGGGAGGATAATCATATTAATCCAAGAGAGATGAATAATATTTATTTCACTAATATAAATTAATGAGGCGATGGCTGGTAAAAGAATCATACTTTTTTAAAAATAAAATTGGTAATCTATTTTTTAAATTAGTACAATGAAGAATAATTATAAGATCACAATTTTTTTAATTAAATAAGGCAAGGGAAAATTATATTTTTAATAAATTTAATTTGAGAGAAGAGAATCATATCATTATGAGGAGATTAATCAATTTTTTCAATAACCTAAACCAATGCGGGGATCATATATTTTGTCAATCAATGACGATTGTATACTAATTGAGTTTATAAATGAGAACAAATATTTGTAAATCTCAAACCACAAAATAATTTTAATTTGAAAAATGTTATACCCATTATGTTATCTAGGAACATCGATCAATCATCTAAATTGCGCAATTTATATTCTACAATCCGTTATACCCAATCATATCCTATATATATATATATATATATATATATATATATATATATATATATATATATATATATATATATATATATATATATAGGATATGATTGGGTATAACGGATTGTAGAATATAAATTGCGCAATTTAGATGATTGATCGATGTTCCTAGATAACATAATGGGTATAACNACTTCTTGGGGTTTTGACATGTGGTATGCAACATGTGCATCCACATGTGCATTAGTTTTTCATTCAATAATGTTTTATTATATCCTATATATCCTATATATAAGATTATTTAATTAATCCATTTTTTATTATAATGTTTTATTAATTAAAATCATTTTCATTAGTACTTCATTCAATAATGAACATTAGTTTTGTATAAAATTTTTGTTTTTAAATAAACATACCAATACAAATTCCACCAGTTTAAAACATTTTTTGTTTACATAATTTAAGTATATCTATAAAATATTTTTTAACTT